TATATATATATATATATACACATACACACACACACACATATATATATATATATATATATATATATATATATAATTTATATATATAAACTCTGACTTTCTTTCTTGCAATTAAGAGTTTACATTTATATCTCACAATTCTGATGTTTTTTCTCTGAATTTTGAGTTTACATCTTGCAATTATTCTTCAGTTTTTTGTTTCTGTCCTGTAATAAAAATAAAAAGGGTAATTGCAACCTTTTATAAAAAAATTCATACTTTTTTCTCGCAAGAGTTTTTTTTTGCAAGATATAAACTCCATTTATATTTTTTTATCCAATGACGGAAACAAACTTACATAGTTTTTGACTGTCTTCTGGGGGTTTGTTAGACTAGTCGACTAATCAGTTACAAAATTAATATGTATTACATACTGTACATGAATATACCAACTTACCAACAAAGGTATAACGTTCCATGTGCGGGCGAACACAGCAAATTTTACCCAGGCTTTCGCTCATCTTTCCCCAAAGCTTAACTGGAGAAAAAGAGACAGCAGTCAGTCATGAAAAGCCTGTTCTCCAGAACAGTGTTTCCCAACCTTTCTTTAGTCACAAACAATACTGTACTACATCGATGTTTCCTGTCGGCTCAATTTTTGAGTGGACTTTGCTGTTCCAATGAGCATGAACGCTATACGAGTGGAGCGACTCGTATAGAGCGGGATAATACGCAGAGCATCACACCACGTGAAAGAGAAACCTGAGTGGTGAACTAATTTTCGGCAGCCGAAATTTCGGTGCATCTCTAATTATTGGAATATTTCTGGAATATAACAGAAATATCCATTTCTGATGTCGCCAATAATTATATAATAGATGCTTTTTTGAACATTTTAGCAATTTAAAAATATTAAAAAAGTATTTTTTACACGGCACCCCTGCTCTCTACAGATGGCACCCCGGTTGGGAAACACTGCTCCAGAACACCAAACATAAACATCGGAGCATTTAAAAAATCACTTACTAGCCACAGACTTGTTGGCTGTGTTTTGATAAATAGTAGAAGTCCCATTTTGGGGCTGACCAATCACAGGGGTTGTGGAAGGTGTGTTAACGTTGGACAAAATGCATCCTGTGACTCTCTGCAGAGCAACAATGCAGTTTATTACTTCAAGACAAGATTGAGTACAAGTAAAAGGTAAATAGGTAAAAAGGTAGCATCATTTCAGACCAAATTTTGGACTAACCTTCATTAGATCTCGGTGATGCTCCAAAACACTGCAAGTGGTCTGCCAGGTGTCCTGGTAGCACTCCCAAGGATCCACTCTGCAGAAGACCATTAATCCATCAAACATTTTATGTCCATTCTACAATATATATCCATCATCTATATAACTCAAGGCTAAGTGCTGCATAGCATTCTTATGAGGGTGTTACTGAGCTACATTCTGTCTAATTGACAGTTACCTGATCCAATCAGAAGACTGAACTGCCAGCTGACACATGGTGAGACGATGTCTGCTTGAGACAAGGCCCTAGACAAGCAGAAAAGAAACCAAAACAAGGAAAAGTAAGTCCTCTAGGCATCCACCTACCAATAAAGAGAATATCTAAACTTCAAACAATATTCTTTGGTTTACATCTGCTTGTCGAAAGAAGGAAAACCTATCTGATCAACAGAAAAGCCATTATTCAATCATTTGCCTTTTTTAGATAATCAGAGTTCAAAACGATTTCTAAAATTGTTTCTTTCACATGTGTTATACCTCTCCCATCACAAAGGATTTAAGTTGGAATCGACTGAATCCTGCTTTCTAAAGCATTTATTATTCATATTTTGTTGCTAAGAGAGAAGAAAACTAGGCCAAAGTTCTTTTTAATTCAGAGTTCTGTTAATAATATTAGAGATGATTCGTATAATTCAGATTAAAACCATTGTTCGGCTAGGGATGTAACGATTCACTCAACTCACGATTCGATTCGATTCACGATTTTGATTTCACGATTCGATTCGATTCACGATTATTTATTTATTTGAACAAAATGAGATTTAAGACAAATTATAAATTAAATGTGTCCTTTTATTATTGCTTGGACAAAATGCTGCACATTTCTTTGTGAAATTGAAATATAACACTATAATAATATACTAATATAGCACTTGCATATTATTGCTCTTTTGTTGGTTTTGATTACTTCTATTGTCCTCATTTGCAAGTCGCTTTGGACAAAAGCGTCTGCCAAATGACAAAATTTAAATATAATGTAAATGTAAATAACAAAACTACATTGAAATTTTAAAGCAAGCCCCAAATCAAATAAATAAGTAACACAAATCAAATAAATCTCTTCATATATAAACAAAACAAGGCTTTGTAATCCGTGTAAATCAGGGTATCTTCCGTCCAATCAATTTTTGTTTTAATATTGAAATCTGAAAAATGAAAAACGGCACATA